ATAGTATTGTATCATACAAAATGTGTAATTAATAAATAGATAATAAAAGTGAATATGTAGCTGATATTAACGTTTGACTATGACTGAGTAGAAAAATAGAACTTTTTAATGGCTTTTAATGTTTGACGAACATATAGTTATATATTTAGGACTTGTTTGACATCTATTAATTTATTTTATAGTTTGCTAAACCACACATTAATATAATAAAATATTCTAAACGTAAACTAAATTTTTTTCCTACTTTTAACCACGCATTCTCTTAAAAATATTATTCAAAACTCTTTTTTTTCCTGATTAATGAGAATCAAACAAATTCTTAATCGGCCCTTTTTTCTTTTCTTTTTTTGTTTAATGCACAAATTGTAAAATTGTTGATACATCACCTTCATCGAGCTCCAATGCAAAATTTAATAATCTTAAGAACAAGCAAGTGCATAAAAAGGACCACCATAGCAAATATTAAGTGTCTTTATTTTCCACGAAAATATAACTTTTTACCAAAATTTCTACGTTGGGAGTGTTTGATTAATTGATTGACCATTTTTTCATGTAAAATATTTTTAAAATTTTTGGTCATGTGATCATATTTTCTTTAGGAATTGGTAATTTTTATTTTTGAGATAATTCACTCTCTCTTTATCTCTCATCTATTAATTCTCTCATTTACCTGTCAATAAAAAAAAATGGACAAGTACAATAATTTTTAGATTGAAAATTAAATCAATCAAAGACAATTAATAATTTCCATAACAAATTCCATGCAATTGAATTGTCTAAAATTTGTTTTCTTTTTATACAAATTTTATATCCGCAATCAAACGCACATTCAAATTATGAAAAAGTGAAATTAACAAAGTGAAAAAAAGTCACGTAGTTTTCTTTTCTTTTATTTTGAGCTTGTTTGGTAGCAATTAAAATTCAATTAAAATTGAAAATATAGTCGTTATTGGGTCACACTCGTCTAATAAAAGTCAACAATAACGATTAATTTTTCAATTTTAATCCCATTTTAAACTCTACCAAACAAGCTCTTTTTATTTTTTGAGCCTTTTTTTTTTTAGCATTGCGTTCACATTTGACAGTCAGGTCAAGCCAGCTGTGCAGATTTCAAAATTTTGAATTGACTTTTTGAGTATATACTTGGTCGTTGACACCCCCAATTCAATTTTCGACCTCAAATATTTTACCTATAATTAAAGAAATTTATGTAATCTTGAGGTCAACCACCTTAATCCTTGTCCTGTTTAGTGATCATTTTTTTTAAAAAAAATACTGTTTTATATATGTGTGTATGTGAGAGAGAGAGAGAGAGAGAGAGATTAAAAACTA